TCCTTTTCATTTAGTTCCAGGAATACTTTTATTTATTTCTTAATTTCTCTTGACCCATTCATCATTCAGGAGTGCATTGTTTAATCTCAATGTGCTCATATGGTGATTAGGGCTTCTTCCAGTGTTGATTGTAAGCTTTATTGCATTGTGGTCTGATAGGATGCATGGAATTATTTCAATCTTTTTGTATTTGTTGAGGTTTGTTTTGTGCCCCAGTATATGGTCGATTTTGGAGATGGTTCCATGGGGTGCTAAGTAGAAAATATGTCCTTTGGTGCTTGGATGGAATGCTCGGTAGATGTCTGCCTGTTCACTTTTTATGCATCACTCCTGTAAAACAGAAATGGCATCTCGTGGATCCAGCCGACTATGACAATTATGTTCTGGACAGTCTGGAAAATGATTCACGAAAATCATACTTTTGGTTTTGAATGAATGAGTTTAAGTAAACAGCAGGCCAAAATAAAAGAATTATCAATGAAGGGCTGAAGAGATGGCTCATAGGTTAAGTGCACTGACTGCTCTTGCAGAGGACCTGGGTTTGGTTCCCAGCATACATACAGCAGCTAACAACCATTCATGACTCCAGTTCCAGGGTTCAAGTCCCAGCACCCATATGTGACTGATATCCTCTGTAACTCCAGTTCCAGGGAGTCTGATGCCCTCTTCTGACTGTCCTCTGTAAGTTCCTGAAGAAATATGGCTCAGCAGCTAAGAGAACTGCTCTTGTAGAGGCCCTAGGTTTGGTTCCTAGCACCTACATGGCAGCTAACAACCATACTTAACTCCAGTTCCAGGTGATTTGATGCCTTCTCCTGGCCTCTGGGAGCATTGCACACAGATGGAGCACATACAAACACACAAAGCACTCAAACACATAAAAACATTATTTCAAAAATTTATGTGTGTGTGTGTGCGTGTGTGCACGCGCATGCATGCATGCTCATGTGTGCATGTGTAACAAGTGTGCAGAAGAAGGTTTGTGTCCCCTGGAGCAGGTGTTACAGGTGATTATGAACCTCTCAATGTGTGTGCCAGAAACTGAACCCAGGTCCTCTGCAAATGCAACCAGGCAGCCAGTGCTCTTAACCATTGAACCATCTCTTCAGCCCCTGTTTTTGTTTCTTTTCTTTTTAAGACAGGGTCTCTCTGTAGCCCCAGCTGGCCTGGAACTTGCTATGTAGACCAGGCTGGTGTTGAATTCACAGAGATCTGCCTTCCTCTGCCTCCCAAGTGCTGGGACTACAGGCGTGAGCCACTATTCTGGGCAAGTGTTTATATATGTAAAACTTAGTCTTTTCTTCCATCACAGTCTTCATAGCCTATCACCAGTATAGCTGTGCTCACAGCAGGATATAATGATTGCCTAAGAATAACTTAAAAAGAATGACATGTGGTCAAGATAGAGACCTGAAACAACAGATTTATTAAGCACTTTAGAGTATCATGTCACAAAAGGCTATTAGAAAACTTAAGACAAAGGGTATAAGGCACAACAAGAGCAAGGATGATATCCCGGGCGGCAGCTCTTATAGTTATGTCTATAATACATGATTAACTTGTTTTGCACTTTTTTTCAGAGACAAGTAAAGTTATAAAGCAAAGAGATTAACTTATTTTCTACTTAGTATGTTAAGTACACATTGATCATGAAATGCTTATTTCTTCTGGACACAGCAGGTAAAATTAAGAGAGCATTTCATCTTCTTGACTTGTTATAAAATGAAGAAATCCTTTAGATTTCTGGGTAAGAGCAAAAACTAGCGATCCCACAATGATTTTTATTATTTCTTGACATCCGAATATATCCTTGTTCACCAAAGTGAAGGCCCCAGCTTTAGAAAAAGAAAGAACACCAAATTACACATGAA